GGGTTTAGGGTTTAGAGATTTGAGGTTTAGGGCTTAAGGGTGTAAGGCTTGAAGGTCTAGGGCTTAGACTTTCTATCTTCACTTCCGGGGATTATAGGGTTAGGCCTTCAAGCTTGAGGTTTCAGGGTTTCGGGCTCTGGGGCCAGGGTTAAGGGTTTGAGGGTTTGAGGGGTTTGAGGGTTGAGGGTTTAGGGGTTTAGGGGTTTAGGGTTTAGGGTTTAGGGTTTAAGGGTTTACGGTTTAAGGGTTTGGGGCTTCGGGCATCTATCTTCATCTTCCGTCGGCCGGATTGCCGAGCCCGGTGGCTCCATCATAGTTAAACAGATAAGTTCCCAACGGCACCCAAAATGTTTAAGAAACATCATACACACATGAAGTCCCAAAACGCAGCTAGGTCGACACACTGAAGCTTTAAAGACTCTGTCCTCTTTGTCCACCCAGTCGGCAAGGGCGGTGGCGTACTCCTGCGAGTGCTCAGCATCGGCAGAGTCAACTTACTGTCGAGGTCTGAATTAATCATTAGCAATAGTCCATCTTCTATATAGTTATAGCACAATGTACCCCAAAACCCGTATTGAAATTAGTTAATTACCTCGTTCCCTGCACCCGACAGCTGCCATTTCTTAGTACAGCTGCTCCGGTTGATACACCACCGCACCGATGACGATGACGATGATGCCAACTTACTGCTCCTCCTTACTACTGCTACGGCCACTGCTGCTGCTGCTGCTGCTGCTGCTGCTGCTGCTGCTGCTGCTGCTGCTGCTGCTTACATCCTTTTGCTGCCCGTGTTACCGTCCGAATTATCGCAGGGTTTCGCTTTCAAGCTTGAGGCTTTCTCGCTACAGGGTGTAAGGTTTATGCTTTAGGCCTTCGGTGTACAATTCAATTCTTGTGGGAATCCCGCACGCCAAACCCGAGCCGAGCCCTCATGAGCTCTCCTCCCCGTGCGATGTCAACACGGAGTCCCCACCTGCATGCTTCTAGGTTCCCAAGTGTCCCTTTAATAAGCTGAAAAGGGTACCCTTTGCTGATACTCAGTTTCAATAAACCCTAAAGAAAAAAGGAACCCTAGAGAAAAAGGGTGAAAGGGTACCACTGAGGAGCCTAGGCTTCTGATTTCTGTCATTCATAAGGGCAGAGGGCCGCGCGGCGGTTTAGGGAAGGTCCCGTGTCGGGTCTTCATCTGCATAAGGGCATCGTGAGGAAGATGTCTTGAAAAATAATCGACTGTGCCCGTACCTACTTGGTACTGGAAAAGGACATAAACGGCTTTGGCGTTCAGGGGTCTTTAAGGGCTTTATAGGGTTTTTGGGGCTGGAATCCTCGGAGCCTCTCTGGCTTCGGAACCGGTCGAGACACTAGTTTGCAAAGACGTGTTGTTACGGCTTGATGGGTTCAGGGTATCAGTGCGCAGCGAGGGATCGGAGAACACTGTCAGTGCCCACTCAGTGTCTGGCACGAGTCTAGATCTCTGTGTTTCGGATTTAGTGAAGCGGCTTTTTTATTTGCATGCAGAGCACAACACCGGAGAGCTACGTCCGACTCTCAAACCCCGAAACGGAAACGCAAAGCCTGTTTGCGAAAAGCGCAGTTGCCAGCACCAGATCAGCATGCCGTCATATCCCGCATCACCGTCATCACAAGCATCATCCTGACCCTCGTCAGCGTTACTACGTACAGTAGCCGTTACCATGCTCCGCCACGCAGCCAAGTGTCCTATCTTGCCCAATCGGTTGTACTCAGACTGGCCGTGCCGGGACAGGAAGATAGGTCTTCGTTGCCCGTGCAGATTGAGCAGAAACCTCGCCGGTTCTGCTCCAAGGAATGATGTGGGAGTTTCCGAACATAAGGAGTACCTTATTTTGGGGTCCTTATAATTGTTGAATGCTGCACTCCGCCTTCCTTTTACTCTTTCAAGGACATGTGTCATCACAACATGTCACAGTTGAAGGCCTGCAAGAGCCTTAGGACAGATGGTAGGTCTAAACCATGAAGCATGCTCAAGGCATGTGACGGTAGACACCATCGACGTTCTGCGTGTTGTGTTAGTGAGAAAAAGGGTTGGAGAGTTGCATGGCCCTCCGTGAGCCCCTGGTTTCTTCGCTGCACAAATCGAGAAGTGTACCAACCTGGAATCGGCTGGGAAAGCCGTGACGATCTTTCAATAGGTTATGACTG